CTTTATTCATTCATCTGTTGATGGACATTTAGGTTGTTTCCATGTCTTGGCTATGGTGAATAGTGCTGCTATGAACATAGACGTGCATGTATCTTTTTGAATTATAGTTTTGTCTGGATATATGCCCAGGAGTGGGATTGCTGGATCATATGGTAATTCTATTTTTAGTTTTCTGAGAAACCTCCATACTGTTTTCCACAGTGAGAGCACCAACTTACATTCCCACCAATAGTGCAGGAGGGTTCCCTTTTCTCCACACCCTCTCCAGCATTTGTTATTTGTAGACTTGATGATGGCCATCCTGACTGGTGAGAAGAGGTACCTCATTGTAGTTTTGATTTGCATTTCTCTAATAATTAGCAATGTTGAGCATCTTTTCATGTGCCTACTGGCCATCTGTATTTCTTCTTTGGAGAAATGTCTATTTAGGTGTTCTGCCCATTTTTGGGTTGGATTGTTTGTTTTTTTGTTGTTGAGTTGTATGAGCTGTTTGTATATTTTGGAAATTAAGCCCTTGTCGGTCTCATCGTTTGCAAATATTTTCTCCCATTCTTCAGGTTGTGTTTTCATTTTGTTTATGGTTTCCTTTGCTGTGCAAAAGCTTGTAAGTTTGATTAGGTCCCATTTGTTTATTTTTGTTTTTATTTCTATTTCCTTGGGAGACTGACCTAAGAAAACATTGCTATGATTTATGTCAGATTGTGTTTTGCCTATGTTCTCTTCTAGGAGTTTTATGGTGTCATGTCTTATGTTTAAGTCTTTAAGCCATTTTGAGTTTATTTTTGTGTATGGCGTGAGGGAGTGTTCTAACTTCATTGATTTACAGGCAGCTGTCCAGCTTTCCCAACACCATTACTGAAGAGACTATCTTTTTTCCATTGTATAATCTTGCCTCCTTTGTAGAAGATTAATTGACCTTAGGTGTATGGGTTTATTTCTGGGCTCTCTATTCTGTTCCACTGATCCATATGTCTTTCTTTGTGCCAATACCATACTGTTTTGATTACTGTAGCTTTGTAGTATTGTCTGGAACCTGGGAGGGTTATGCATCCTGCTTTGTTCTTTTTCTTCAGGATTGCTTTGGCAATTCTGGGTCTTTTATGGTTCCATATGAATTTTAGGATTATATGTTCTAGTTCTGTGAAAAATGTCATGGGTAATTTGATAGGGATAGTGTTAAAGAGGCCAACTTTAAATGCCCTTCTCCTCACCCCACTCCAACTTTTCAGATGGAAATTGGATGAACACATGCTTACCTTCCCCCTCAGCTTTCATCCTCTGAAAACAGTTCATTGACCTGCCCATTCCTCCATAGCTCATAGAAATGCCAAAGGGACCTTACCTTGTCCCTTCACTTTCATTAGAATTTGTTGATTGGGTTAGTCCACTTAACTGATCTCCAGGGGAGGACAAAGATATCACAAGAAGGGGTTTTCATAGTGTAGAGGCAGCATGGTAGTACCTGGCGTGGGTAGTTCCACCTGAAGTTGCCGACCTCATCACTATTTTCATACCTCCCAATGTCACAGGAGGAAAATTGGAGTAAGATTTCTTATGCTCCTGATAACGTTTGGTGTTCAAAACAATACATGAAAAGATGCTCAACATTATTATTCCCGTTGTTAGGGAAATTGAAATCAAAACCATAATGAGATACCACTTTGTACTCAGGTGACAATAATAATAACAGAAAATAAGTGGTGGTGAGGATGTGGAAGAATTGAACTTTTGTACAGGGCTGGTGGGGATATAAAAAGGTGGAGCCTCTGTGGAAAACAGTGTTCAGTTCCTCAAAAACTTAAAGTTCACGTATGATCCAGCAATTCCGTTTCTAGGTATGTACCCATAAGAGTTGAAAACAGGTACTCCAACAAATACTTGTACACGAATGTTAATAGCTACACTATTAACTATTTGGGACTGGAGCCCTGAAATGCAACACTCTCTGCAGGTACTTTGTGGGAATTTTGAACAAGATCTCTGGCCAAATGGATGTATATGATGCTGAATTGTTCAATATGCAGCCGCTGTATTCCGATGAATCAGTTCAGAGTCAATCGACGCTGGAGAGTCACACCAAATCTTTTAGAGAAAAGATGGATTCTTGCATTGAAGCCTTTGGTACCACCAAACAGAAGCGGGCTCTGAACTCCAGGAGAATGAACAAAGTTGGCAGTGAATGTTTGAATAGTGCAGCGGCTAAAGCTGCGGAGAGTATAATTGATACAAAGGGTGTGACTGGTAAGCACCTGGAACTTGGGGTAAGAGGCTGCTGGTAGAAACAGCTTTCCCTTCTCTTGAGATCTTTCACCCGCCCCACAGATAGAAATGATGGGAGTTAGGGCTGGATTCCTTCCTGCTTCTCCCTGAGGGCCTTCTTAGGAGCAGACTCTGGAAATCATAAGAAACATCTGACATGGCCTGCTCTCAGTGAGCTCACAGTCGAGTAGAAGAGACAGACTTGGGAACGGTTATGTGCCCTCTGTGTCCTTGGTGCCAGGGCTACAGCCTGCAGGGCACAGAGGAGGGAGACGGCCTCATGTCTCTGTGAGTTACAGGGGGGTTTTAGTCAAAAAGTCTGATGTGATGATGATGAACTAGCCTCTAGAGACACTTTGAGGTCACTGGATCTTTTTCTTTTCCTAAATTCTTCAGCAGCTTGAGTATTAAATTGTATTATTTAAAAAAAAAAATAGCTGCTTTAAAAAAAGCACGTGTCTCACTACAGCCAGAAGGCTGACACAACCCAAACGCCCATCGTGAATACACTGTGGCACGTACATACGTGGAATATTATTCAGCTCCAGAAAGGAATGAAGTACTGATACACAGTACAACGTAGATGAATCTCTAAGACAGCATGCTAAATGAAAGGCAGCCACAAAAGTGCACATATTGTATCATATGACTTATATGAAATACCCAGAAAAGGTAAATCTACAGAGACAGAAGCAGATTGGTGGTTGCCAGGAGGTAGGGAGGGGGGAGGGAGTGGGGAGTGACTACTTACTAGGTATGGGGTATTATTTGGGGTGATGAAAATATTTTGGAATTTGATAGAGGTGGTGGCTGTACCACGTTGTGAATTTAACGAATGCCACTGAATCGTTCAGCTTAAAATGGTTAATCTTATACGATTAATTTCACATCAAAAAAAAGTTAACACATATAAAGAAAATAAGTAGCAGACCACCAGATGGGTTTTCAGAAGCTATCATCCTTTGCCAGAACCTTGATAGGCAAAGAATGCATCTTCGTATGACTAAATGATTCGTCCCAGCTCAGCTGCCCACGATTCAGTTCTGCAATAAACATCTCACGCTTGGGGACCCCTTCGATTGTCGTGGCTTCGTCTGTTCCCACTTGGCTGAATACTGCGGAGACTGATGGAGGTAAGGCAGACTTCCCCAACCAGAAGGTCCAACTTATACCTAAGCATTGCTAACAACTACCATTTAAGTTTACTAGCATATAAAAGTAAAATGACCAGTTACAAACCCTAGCTTTGAGCCATTAAAAATGCTCTTGATTATATAGGAGAACTCGTAAGTGTTTAATTCTACCTAGAAGTTTCAGCTTAATCATTTTAAGCAAATAACAGAAGGAAGTGGTGATAATCTACCCTTTGTTCTAATATGAAAATGTGAATAATGAACCTTCCAGGAAAAAAAAGCGCAGAATTTTGAGAGCAGTTCAGTCTAATAGATGTCCAGTTTAGAAATAGATCAGTCCTTCTGGTACAGACTGTTACTCCTGATTTATTGCAGTGGCAATTCCCATGAAATCAGTCATTACTTCAGTTAAACTATTGGAGCATTAACGCCTTTAAATTCTGCTTTCAGGCACTTAAATGCTGGATAATACTGATTTTTATGGGGATGATGGCTTGTGGTAAAAGGCCTAAAAAGTTCATTTTTGCTACATCAAATTTTGTTAACAAAAATGCTAAGTTCCTACAGAATTTATTTTTTTTCCTACAGACTTTAGATTCTAAAAATCAGTGTTTCCTGGGTAGAACTGATAATACTTAGTGATTATTTTTTAAGGTTTATATCTAGAAGTAAATAAATATTATTGCACCCAACTATACAAACGCTTTTGTTCAGCAATAGCTTTATAAGAATAAAAGTTGGTGGTCCAGACAGTCGGGCACCTTATAGTACAGAAAGACTCATCCCTCATGAACCTCTCCAGGGGAAATCTAGTTACCAAAGTGCCCCAAGAAATTTCTTCTCCAAAAATATCACATCACTATAAGAAGGCTTTAGGATATCAGTATGCTGGTAACTGCCCCAGTGAAAATTACCTAGTTACCCTAACTACCTTCTTTCAGAATGAAAAAAAGAAAAAAAGAAAAAAGGAATAGGGAAAGGAGGAAGAAGGAGGAGAGGGAGAAGAAAGGGAAGAAGAGGTGCAAGAAATAATAAAGAAATGAGGAAAGTAATCTGGTTTCTCTGCCCCAGAAACAATGAACATTGGAAACCCAATGGGCCAAGCTAAACATTAACCAGTTCTTTTGGTTGGCCTTTGACAGCACAGGGTAGAGATATGCACCTGGCTTTCAGAAACTAGCTAGATAGGTTCAAAGCCCAACCTCACCATTTAGAAGCAATGTGACCTTGAATAAGTTAATGAGCCTTTCTGAGCCTCTGCTTTTTCATCCACCAATGCAAACGATCCCACCCACCTCCCAGAGTAGGAGGCCTCAATGAGAGAAGCATCTTAGATTCCCAGCCAGAGGCACGCTCCCCCTCCTGTGGTCTGAAGCATTGATAGCTTAATCTGGAAGGTTTGTTATTGATGTTGATACTACACCAGGAAGTCAGGACATAGCCGATTCTATTGTATTTTTTATTAGAAAAACAAATTAAATAGTGATTGATTCTATAAAAAATTGAACTGGAGTCCATGGCTCATGGTGGGGAAGGCTCAGAAAATGGAGACAAGGATGTGGGGGCAGCAGCTTCTTTTTCTTCATATCTGGGAGGCAATTCGGATGAGAGACAGGGAGTGTGTGAGGTCTCAGAGGATGAAGCAGTCCCAGAAATAGTATATATAGATTCACCGTCTCTCTCAGAGGCTGCGCCTTGGCCCTCAGGAGTTGGGATCCTATGAAGAAGGAGAGAGAACATGAAAGGGAGCAGAGGGACTCAGTCACATGCCTTAACTACCAGGTTCTTTTCACATGTTTAATTAGATGCATTTGGAAACGTTTGCAAGGGTCTCCAGAGTAATTTCTTCCATATTCTATTCTGCATAGATATGTTTTGATTTCTTACCCCTTCCTGTCCTTAGAGCTCATGGTTACTTTAAGACTGTCTCACTCCTGTTGTCATTCCCCTTGTCATTGAAAAGACGTAGAGTACAAACACATAGCTGCCTTCCGAAGAGAACATGCACACACACAGTTACTCTTCTCTGCTACTTCATCTTCTGAGACGGCTAATGGAAGGCAGACAAACTTATGCAAAGAGAAAATTAAATCATTAAGCCAAAAACTTGAAGGAAGGCAGGAAGACGTACTGGTTAATGGAGTGGGGTCTAGCAAAGGGCAGACCTGCATCTGAATTTCCACTCTGCTGCTTTCTAGCTGTCTGATCTCAGGCAAGTTACTTAACCTCTCTAAGCCTCAGTTTCCTCATCTGTAAAATGGGAATGATGACAGTGCCTACCTTCTAAGTAACTATGAGAATGACCTGAGGTAATGTAAGAAAAGGCAGACTCTGGCATAGCAACAGCCGTAGGAGTAGTTTTTAGTAGCCGTAGAAATAGACATTTATTTTTGGGCTCTGGGAAGTTCATCATTGGAGAAAAGAATATAAAAATTCACTAAGAGAATTCTACAAATGTCCAGAACCTAACCTCCCTTTCACCCACACAGGGGAACTCCTGCATTCATCCCTGGTCAGATCTCCAGCTCATCACCCGGTTTGAGGTACAAGAACACGTGCCGTGAAACATGAATGACCAGGTATGGCAGCCCCCATCCCTAGCACACTTGTGACATCTCTCATGTCCTGCTTCTCAATGCTTTCAAAAATGCACGTGTCTCAAAAGCCACTTTTCACTGAGGCCTGCTTTGCCCTGTGAGATTTTCCAGTGATCCTACCTTCACTTCCTACACCCTGGTTTCCCATGTGGGAAGGTGCAGAGCCTTTTCCAGCCCTGCTCATCCCTGACACTTCCCAGAACTCCTTCCTTTCATGCCTTCCCCGCCCGTGGATTCTCCACAGGCCTCTGTCGCCTTGCCCTCTTGGTTTCAGCAGCCTCTTTGCCATTTCATCTCCAGTACCCCATCTCTCTCCCAAGACCTGGCCCATCCGGTCTAGCTCAAAGGCCCACACCTCGCTCTCCCTCTACTGCAAGCCAGCTCACATCTTCTCCCACTTACACAGGCCCCGTCTCTGTCTTCCTCAGTCAGGGACATTCCCTGTCCCTGTCACTCACCCTTGACATCATCATCTCCGCTCTTCATCCCTGTCGTCCTCCACAGCAGACATCCTCACACACTCCTCCCTTTCTGACCACCCCAGCCCCAGCCCCATGTTCAGCCTGTCCATGAGAGAAGGCTTCCTCTCCGGTCTGGTCACCCCCAGCCTTTCCCCATCACGAGCTGTGCTAACCACTGCTCGGACCCTGTGGCCGTGACTCCACAGCCTTCAATGGCATCCCTCTGCCTCAAGGAAAAACACTTATATTTACACTGTTTAATCTGACCCCAGGTACGCCTCCAAATTTGTGGTATGTGGAAAGCATGGGGGATGGGGATGGGGATCTCGTATTTCTCTTCGGTCAATCTGAGAAGGCTCTGAGGCCCAGGGAACAACTTAATATTGAGGGGAGAAGCCTGGCGTGGTCAAGTCAGGGTGCAGGTTGATTTCAGCCGGCCACTCGAGTATCTCCATTAGATACTGAAATGCTCTGTACCTGCTGGAGGTCCCCGGGGACCCTCCCCCCTCCCACAGTCTAAAGCAGCAACACCTAACTTAGCAGGGGCCTCCTGAGTTCTGCTCCAGCGCTCGGGACGGCTGATGGGTTTGTGCAGCATTTTGAGGGTCAGCCCTGCTAGGACCACATAAAGATGCCTGGAGAAGGCTTCATGTGAACCCGGCATAACCACTTTTATAATTTTTAACTCGTGTGCCGCCCAAAGTTTCCTGAAAAGTACTAGGAATATTAAGGCAACGATTCTGGCACAATGTCAGCCAAAAAGATACTCATACTTGGATGGCTACACCTCTACCATAGCCTTGAAGCTGATTTGGCCTGAACGTAGACACAGGCCTGAAAAGGTTAAACTTTCCTACTCTTGACGTTCAAACGGGAAGTCTTACCTATAGTTAAAAATACTGTAATATGAAGGTGGACTTTCATTTGGGAGCCAACCGTCAGCCCCAGGACTCCGAGTAGCTGCAGAAACTGAAGACTCAGGAAAGTAAGGTGGTGGAGGAGGTGGGAATATGATCACGGCATCACCTAAGGAAACACAACATTTCATTGACGATAGATGAGTACTAAATGCAAGCAAATGAGCAACAGCTAAAGAAATTAATTATATATTTGGCCCATCTATAGAAAAGGTCAAAACACCAGAATTTAAAAGTGAGCCTATCCAACTCACAGAGACGGAGAGTGGAAGTTGCCAGGGGCTGGAGGCTAGGGCGACTGGACTTAGTGTTTAATGCAGGCAGGGTTTCTGTTCAGGATAATGAAAAACTTCCGGGAATTGATCATGGTGGTGGCTGTACAACATGGTGAATGTACTTAATACCACTCTACACTTTAAAATGATTAAACTGGTAAATTGTATGTTGTCTATCTTGCCACATGAAAAAAAAAAATAGTGGGCCTATATTTCATAGCAAGTCTGAGCTAAAGCATTTCTGTGAAGCATTTGCTAACAATGTTCCTTACCTCCCCTGGGATGTCTGCTGCTACAAAGCTTTTCTCGTTTTCTACTTACAATTTTAATTCTTCAAAAGTTAGCTGTTGGATAAAGCGCCTCCACTCCTCAAATGCAGTTTCAACCTCTGAACAAATGACAGTACAGCCACAATACAGCCCATCATCCCTATTTCCATAGTTGTGGTTTATGCACGTGAAGAGTTTTTTTTATCTACCAATGTTTCTTCCAAGCTTTACAAAAGAAAGTCAAACTCAAAGAAAAGCTAGGGTTTTTTTTGTTTTGTTTTGTTTTGTTGCATTTCTGTTGGTACTGTTCGCTCCAGAAGACATCCCTGTGTTTGGGCGAGGAGAACTGGGGACCAGATGCAAGCTCTAATTTGATTCCAACACAAAATGTACCAGATGAGTTGCCCAGAACCTTCTAGAAATGAGGTCTGAGGGTGGCCTCTGATAAGCTGGCAGCACCAAATGACAGCTCAGGAAGAATGAAAGAGGAAAGAGGACTTTACTTCCCTGCAGGGAGGAGACGGTTTTTACTGGTAGCAGAGCTGATGCTCACCTAGGTAGCTGCAGGGTTCTCTAGAGTTACCGGGGTTCCACTTGCCAGTTCCCACCAAGTGTGGCCCTGAACAAGTTACGTGCCCTCTCTAGGCCTCCCTCAGCCACCACACCTGTAAACGGCAGGCTGTAACTGTACCTGCCTCAGAGGACAGGTAGGAGGACTGGATTTGCACGCGGGGTTAAAACGGTGCTGAGCACGGAGCAAGCTCTCTCAACTGTAACACATCCTCAAAGGGACTTTCTTCACAACCACCAGCAAGTGGCACCTATGTGCATGTCTGAAGAAACATTCCCAACTGGCAGTCGGACAAGTGGTTCCACTCTCCACCTAGATGCCTCAGTCGCCTCCGCAGAGGTAACTTAGCCCTGCAGAAAATGCATTAACTCCATCTCTCCTTCTGCAAGGAGATGGCGGTTCAAGCTTTTAATATACATCGCTAACCGAAGCTGGAAAAAGCATAGTGGTTGTCTTGGGATTCTCATTTAATTTTTTCAGAAGGTCTTCGTAGGTCAGAGGAAGGTAGGTTGAATGTTCACTTTAATTATACATTGTAGGACAAAGGATCTGGAAACAAGCCTCTAAAGCAGGCTGATCACCTATCAAACACAGACAAGGAAGTACTCAGAGTCTCCAGTTATCTCTGAGGCTTAGCCACCCCTCTGCCAGGTCAGCTCCCAGCCCTCCTGCTCTCCCCGGAAAGTCCCATGCCCCTGGGGTTTCCCTTCCACTATGTCCTGAAAGACTTGATGTCCTCTGTGAGTTGACCATACACCGGCTTGTGCATCCAGGGTCCAGCACTAGGTGTGCCCACAATGCAGATATCATGCATCTTGGTTTCTCTCTTCTGTCTTCCATTCTGGGAAGAGCTGCTTTCTGGCACTTAGCCAAGGACTGCCTCTTATCACCCCAATTTCCCTCACAAGGCAGAACTGACCATTGACGGACAACGCCTGGAGTCTTAACAACTGTGCCGAAAGGCACGATTTCTAAAAATGTAAACCCTATTCCATAATACCAAAGGAGAGAAAGACAAGGTGCCAGATTTTCACAGGTTTGATAGGACTTACACGGTTATGTGGAAAAGATTTGAAACTACGCAGTGCCAACATCAGGACAGAACCGCCCAGGAGTCATTCCAGCACAAGCCCTGCTCCCTGCCGCCCCCCATTCCAACCAGCAGGAAGAAAGCTGGGCCCCAAAACTCCCGGATAGTAAACCCAAAGGGCACACCTTGAAATGCTCCCAACTAAGTGGAAGACCGTGAATGTCTCATGAAAGTATTTACTTGGACCCCACTGTGTTCCCTGAAAGAACTAAGAACGTCTATAATATTGGGTGAGCCCTTTCCTCATGTAACAACAACCCGGGACACCTGGTGAAGGATGAAGCCTGCAGAAACAGAATTACAGCAAGTGCCTGGGGAGGGCGCTATGCAAGGGCCAAGCATACGCAGGCCCACCGCCTCCGTTAGGGTCCTGGCTCTGCCGCTTGCTAGTTTGTGACGTTGGGCAAATTACCTGGGATCCCTGACCCTTGGTTTCTTTATCTTTAACATGGAGACACTAAAAGCATCTGCCTCAGTGGATTGTTGTAGGTGTGAATGAATTTCACACAACAGGCCCTTGACGAGTACACGCTAAAATACACCTAGATGGGTATTTGGCCCAAGAATAAGCCCTATATATTTGTTTGCTATTATTAACGTATAACTGATATTGATGTTGTCACCGTAATTATATAAACGCACAAATAAGGAAGTTGGGAGCTTCAACCCTGGCTGAACACAAGGATCGTCTGTAAATCCATCCGCCCTTCCTTTCTGAGGCCAATACCATGCAAAGTCCACAGCCCAGGGAATCCCCACAGTGAGTACCGCCAGCTCGACAGATGGCCCCACCCGCGAGAAACATCTCACTCGCCACCTTCCTTCCCTGTTCCTTCCACGGTTTCTGCTCTGTAATCCTCTTTGCCCGCCCAGCCTTTTACATGTTAAGGCTGTGGCTTCAGAGTGGGAGACTGAAATAAAACAGTGATTTGCAAAAATGAGCAGCGGTGGGGGTGTTTTGTCTGTGTGAACGTGAGGCCAAAGCTACTGGTATGGTTCTGTGGGGACCTGACTCTGGGAAATGGTGATCCAGCTCTTCTGCAGATCCCTGGGGACCCGAAGGGACACTCTGTAGGCACTCCACGGAGGAAAGAAGCGACAGGTGCTGTCATGTTTCATCTTTGTCTATGCCACTGCTTCCAAACCTTGCTCCGACCCTGAAGCCAAGGATGAAATTACAGAAAATGAAGAATGATGCAGAAAACAGTACAGAAGGCTCCCTCAGAACATGGAAGACCGATGGACTGGTGACAGATTCAGAACCCTAGATATTAGTGCTGTCAGGAATCTTAGAAATGCAGTGCCCATTTTATAAATACACAAAGTAAGGCCAGGAGAGGTTCAGGACTTCCAAAGACAGCCAGTCAGGGATGAGAACCCACATTTCCAACAACCAGAAGTGCCCTAAGTGTTTGGTGTGAGAATAACAGGGGAAACAGGGTCACTTGGCAGGTACCTGAGGTTTTAGAAGGCTCCCAGGCTTTCCTCAAGGATCCTCTCACTTTCCTCTTTATTTGCTCTGTGACCTTAGTCAAGGTCACAAGTTAATGTCCCAATGCTTTTGCTAGATAATAAGGAATGGCTGGGAGGAGATGATGTGCTCAAGGATTCTTATGGGGATAAGTACAGCAGCAGAACTGTGTCTGTGTGCATCTGCGTGCGTGTATGTGTGTGTGTCTCTGTGTGTGAGAGAGAGACACACACACACAGGGACAGGGACAAAGAGAGAGAAGGAGAAAGAGAATCTAGGCCAGACCCGGGAGCAGCTCAGTGAAGCCTTGATGCTACAGCCATGGTGATATGAACAAGAACAGGAAGGACAGCCACCCACCTACAGTGACCTGGACGGGCTCCATGTTCTGGGTCTGTCTCTCTTCACTTTCAGAAGCATCCTGGCCCACATTCGAGTTGTTTCTCTTCTTAACATGGGCAACCACGAAGAAACACAATCCCACAAGCACAATCAAGGGTCCCAAGATCTGCAGGGACAGGAATCCACAGATCTGGGGCTCTGAGTCAGCAGTGTCTGTCTCATTCAGCGGTTCCTGCACCCAGTCTGAGCCACACCCGGGGACCCAAATGCCCAGTACGCTGATGAGCATACCACTCGTCAGGAACAGAAACCCAAAGATGAGACACTGGACAAACTGGCGGCTCTCCCCACAGAGGAAGGCTCGGTCGGAGGCCCCCCGGTTGCCTCGCAGGCGCTCCTCACTTCGCTGAAGTCGTGCCCGGGAGCGGGCCAGGACCACAGCCCCCAGCCCAATCACGGCACACGCGGGCCCGGAGATCTTCAGCACCATGCTACAGTCTGGGAGGGTTTCGTATTGGCATGCCTGGAACCCAAAGATGGAGAGCAGGACTCCCACACACAGCAGGATAGCACCGACGACAAAAAGGAAGAAAATGAGCTTGGTGACACGCCTGTCTCCCTGGACCCCATCTGGCTCGGCAGCAGCTGCGGGAGACATGGCCAGAAGAGGCCACTTCCCCGAGGTGGGTGGGATGTGTTCCTTCCCTTCAATGGTTTCAACAACTCTGCAGACATAACCAAACACCAAATTAAAGTGGGCGCAGGTGTTCCTGACCCGCCCTGTTCTTTTTCCCAGATCACACTAGGATGAAATCACAGGGAACAGAACTTTGTGCAACTGATACACGGTAGCACAATGATCTGGTTCATGAGTCAGAGGAACTGGCATTCAGAAACTCCTGAACACGTAATTTTATAAAGATATGCAAGAAGGGCAAATGCAATTACCATGCACCTAAGAGTATCTTGAAAAATCAAAACCCATGCAACAAAAGTAAATGGGTGTGGCTTTTCCTGTTATGAGCCTTAACAGACTCACTTCCCCAGGCCAAAAAAACCCAAAACCCAAAACATAAAAACAATGGTGAGTGAAGGAAGAACCACAGGGATTGTTTCTGATTTACAAACAGCCCATATTTCATCACAGCTGCTATGAGTATTTCCAAGTCGGTAAATTTTCGTTCAGTACCTAACTTTCCATTTCCTATTTTAGACCGCAGCGACTTTCCATTCCCTGCTTTATCCTAAGGCCACATCTACGGGAGACCCAAGTTTCAACTGAATGGGAAGGCGGTTCAGGAACACAGTGAGTTTGGTGGATTTTAAGTTAATTCTGTCAAAATGTGACTCTTGAGTTCTCAAACAGGCACACATTGGGGCTGCCCTGAAATCTGGTGGCCTGGCTGCTTGGTTCTGGGATAACCCAGGGGGGTCTGGTAGCACCTTGTCCCTCAGGTGGGCAGGTGGCCTCTTGCTCACCCTCTTCCGTGGTGCCACCCACTTACACAAAAAGGTTGAGACCCAGTTAAAAATAAGCAGCCGATAAAATCACCAGTCACAAAACACTAAACAGCAATAGAACTTGACTCTGAAAGAAGAGTATACATGAAATCAAGTGGCAAAGCACCTTCCATAAGACCACCCAAGCCCGGTACTTCAAGGCTCTCATATATTAAATGTATCCCGAGCAGTGGGTAAAGAATTGTCTACCTTACACACCCTGACTTTATTATCCAGTTATCTTGTCTTACTCTAATGAATGGAATATTTTTCCAGGACCCTTCAAGTTGGGGCACTCAAAAAGACAACCCAAGTGTAAAGAACATTTTCACTTGCTCCAGGAAAGAAAACTTTTAAAATCTTTTGTGCCACTTGCATCCATGGTCACGTGAAGGAGCTCAAGATTGAGTCGCTAAAGCCAAGGCCATCTTGACAAACCCAAATCATGTCCAAGTAGGGTCAGGTTACGTAAAGAAAGGAAACAACTGGTCTTATGCTAGGAAGTGCTTTTCCAGGAAAAAGTAAGATACAATCAGAAGGAAGTTGGAGAAAGAAGGAAATAGAGGTGGGAAACAAGCTTCCGTGTTAAACTTGGACAAACTATATTTATGAAGATGTAATTAAGCGGAAACAAACATTTAAAGCATTGCACTAATTAAAAAAAAATTCTGAGTCCTGTAATATCTTTTGCTGGTCTGAAGATATGACTGAGGGGTGACTCTCTGCCACAAAGTCCTATCAATTCATTGTACCTTGGACTGAGACCTGGACTTTGTCGTGAGTCACAAGGCTTCAACTGCCTTAAGGCAAATTCCCCAATACTAGTAAAGCCTAAAACTGGATTTGTAGCTTCCTTTCCATGGACTGGTGGACTAAGCACCTGGCATAGGTGTTAATCCCCCATCCAAAATAGTATGTGGGTAGTTCGTTCTCTCTCCCCTCCCCTCCCCGCCCCATAGATGCGCTCACAAACTGACTCAGAGACATCTGCACTAATAGGAGATTAAACCTTTTCCAAATACCAACCTACATTTCATTTCCCCAAAGCCAAATTCACCTCCCCAACGCTGTTTCCCAAAGGACATTTCCAAATCAGCAGCATGTCACCACGTCCAAAGCTCTCTGTGTTTGGGTACTGACGCAGACAGGCACAAGTCCTTTACGGGAAAGAGCCTGGTGGGTTTAGAGAGCCGGAGCGCAACACCAGTCCGCAAAGCTCGGCGCGCGGCCCCCGCGGGCGCAGGTGCAGTGCGGCTCCTCCGCGCTGCGCCGCTCCTCGCTCCCAGCCTGGCCCCCAAAGCTCAGTGCCCGCCCCGCGGCCACAGAGCGCGGGCTCCCGGGGTGCAGAGGAACGCGGGCCGGGAGCGCTTACCTGAGGCTCCGTCCTACGAGGGCGCTGTCTGCGCCGGCAGTCGGCGGGCAGCCCGGCGCCCGCCTCCACCCGCGGCCTCCCGGGCGGCGGGCCGCACCGCACACTCCCACCTGTGTGTCCCGGCGCAGAGGGCGGGCCGCGCGGTGTTTACGGAGGAGGCGTCGCCGGCGCGGGCAGGGCAGGGCGGACTGGCGGGAGCTGGCCGGCGCCGGGTGCTGCCCTTCGGGGTCCAGAGGCGCGCCCGGCTCCGGGGTGGAGAGCGCGGGGCGGCGGACCGGGCGGCTTCCGCGTCCGTGACCGTGCGCGCGAGGAATCCGGGAAAATGCCCCCCCCTCCGCCTCCTCCTCCTCCTTGGCCAGTGGCCCTGCGGGCACGGGGCGGCAAGTTGGGATTCTCCTGGCTGTCCCAACTCGCGAGGCGACGGTCGAGGTCCGGGCGGCGTGAAGGGAGCCGGTTCCCTTCCGGGCCGAGAGCCCAGAATTTGGGCCGGGGGTGGGGAAGAAAGGGCAGCGCCTGCCCCCCTCTCCGGTGTGGCCGCCGCCCAGGCAGGGGTCCCTGCGTTCCCGCCGCCGCGCCCTCTGGGACGGGTGCACCCGGGGACCTGTGGCCCTCCTGCCGCTCCAGAGACCTTGGCTGGGGTCACTGGGGCTAGCCCCTCGCCGCGAGCTCCCCGACGAAGAGGTTATAGAGACACCAGGTCACAGAAACGTGCGCTCCATTAGCGTGTGAGACAAGGGTCGTCCATGCCTGAAGCGTACAGGCATTCGGTCCTAGCTCCGAGACTCCCACGTATGGTCGTCACGGTTATCGCAGTCCCGCGTTGCCATCGAACCCCCTTCCTGGTTCTCAGTCGCTAATGATTTGCCGGACTTAAACTGCTTTCTCTGCCCTTGAACTGGGCGTTTTGGGATGGGTTTGCTAATCCCCGTGCTATTTGTAACCTGCCCCGTGACACGTGACATGGAATCAGCTGTGCCAGTTTCCACACCAGAGGTCAGGGCGCTGTGAAAGGTGAGTCAAGAGCTCAGCCCAAAGTGGGGAGCGCCATGAGCCCTGCGGCCTTTCCCATCCCTGCCACTTCTCCCTGGAGTCCTATCCACTTTGCCTGAAATCAGCCCAGTCAAGAGTTAACGCCAACTGCCTTAACCTTTTGGAAGCGAGAACACCTTGCATACCTGATACAGCAAGTTGTTCCCAGTCGTTTTTCACTGCAGTAAAGAATGAGTTGGCTTAGCTGATTACAGAAGGGAGAAGGAGACTCAAAGAAGGGCTCACAGGGAGGCAAACAGGGAAGGGTGTCCACCTGGGTTCTGCAGGTTGGCGGGCTGGGTGGGTAAGACAGGGCTTCGTAAGGGAAGCAGACTGGGCAGGGTCTAGTGGGAGGGATTTGCTGGGCCACTTGCCCCAGTGGCCAAAGATTATTACTGTCTTGAATATCAACACCCCTTGCTCTGGGCCAGGTTCTGTGTTGCCTGCTTTACCTACATACAGCCTGTGGTTCTTCACTGTGTGTCCCCAGCAACTCAGAGAAGGTTGCAGGCAGAAGGCAATAGGGGAGCTAAAACGGTCATTTTTCAGCTGAGGAAACCACAGCCCAAAGATGTAAAGCGATCTCCACAGATGGTTAATGTGGAGCAAGGGCCTGAACCAGGCTGACTGTTCCTCCTGGGTACGTCTGTCACCCAAAGGACACACAATGCCACAAACTCAGAAAATGTCTTTTTATCATGTGGCATTTTTATCCCTGCAACAGAACAGACGCTGTATCCCAAGGACATTGTGGCAATCTGTGTCCGGGTGGAGCTATCCTGGTCAAAGTGTCAGATTATACCACCTGCTGGAAGGGCCTCAGAGCACGCCCAGCTAACGAGCAAATAACCAGCAGTGGCGATCACACAACAGCAGCGGGCACGCAGCTTTCCAAGAACGCAGCCCTGACTATAGGATTTGCCTCCCTACACAGGTCTGCTAGCAATTCCTTTCTGTACAAGGGGGTTTCCTTTTCCTTTCCCTAATCATTCTTTCCTTCTCCCCTATTTGAAACTCCGTCTCTGGCCACGTCGTGTGCGGACCTGCAAGGGCCCTGTTGATACAGCTGCCCCTCTGGTGCCACATGACTGCAGGCTGGCCACACATGACAGATTTGAATGTACTGGCACCAAGGACAATCAGATTAGCCTCCACTTGGGATGTCTGCCACTTGAACTGTTTGTGTCTTTTGGAGCCTGCTTGACTAAATTAAACTCCTTGGATACCAATCATCGGTCATGTATGAAAGACATACCCACCAGCATTCAAGGTGCTTGTCTTTGGAGCAGACCTGTTCTTAAGAAAGAGACTGAATGACCTTGTCACTATCTAAAACCTGGTGGCCTTTTCCAGCCCATGTGGTAGTGAAAAAAGATCAGCCCAGGCCGAGTCCTTAGAAAAATAGCATCAGAACAAGCGTAAAAAATGGATGAATCTTGAATTCAGGAAGTGAATATGGAGGGTGAAGCTGAGGAATGCAGCAAAAGCTTGAGAGGAATGAGAAAGCAAGCATATTGATTATCTATCATTACATAAGAAATTATCCCAGAATATAGAGCTTTTAAAAAATTTTATTTATTTTATTTATTTATTTTTGGCTGCGTTGGGTCTTCCTTGCTGTGCGTGGGCTTTCTCTAGTTGCGGCGAGCGGGGTCTACTCTTTGTTGCGGTGCGCGGGCTTCTCACTGCAGTGGCTTCTCTAGTTGTGGAGCACGGGCTCTAGGTGCGCGGGCTTCAGTAGTTGTGGTGTACAGGCTCAGTGGTTGTGACTCGTGGGCTCTAGAGCACAGGCTTGGTAGTTGTGGCGCACGGGCTTAGTTGCTCTGCGGCACGTGGGATCTTCCCGGACCAGGGTTTGAACCCATGTCCCCTGCATTGGCAGGCAGATTCTTAACCACTGTGCCACCAGGGAAGCCCCCAAAATGTAGAGCTATAAACAACAAAGATTTATTCTCTCACATTTTCTGAGGGTCAGGTGTCTGGGAACAGCTTAGCGGGGTTGTTCTGGCTTGGGATCTCTCATGAGGCTGCAGTCAAGCAGTTTGCTGGGGCTGCATCGTCTGAAGGCCTGACTGGGGCTGGAGGACCTGTTTCCAAGGTGGCTCTCCCCCATGGCTGTTGGCAGGAGGCCTCAGTTTTTCACTATGTGAACCTCTCCACAGAGCCGCTTGAGTGTTCTCATGACATGGCAGCTGGCTTCCTCCAGGGTGAGTAATCCAAGAGAGAGCAAATGAGGAGGAAGCTGTAGTGCTTTTTATGACAGTCTCTGAAGCCCCACACCATTGCTTCTGCTTTATTCTAGTTCTTAGGATTGAGTCACTAAGTCAAGGAGAGAGGGATTAGGCGCCACCTCTTGAAGGGGAGAGTATCAAAGGATTTGTGAATATATTTTAGAACTGCCACAGAGGACTGTGGTGATATTTGGGGGAAGAGGGGAAGAGCACTTCAGGCAGAGAAAACAGCAAGTGCAAAGGCCCTGAGGCAGGAGCAGGCATAGCATATTCAGGGAAAAACAAGAAACCAGGGTTGCTGGAGTAGGTAAGCAAGGGAGAGTAGAATAGGAGGAGGTCAGTAGGGCTTGGTGGGCCACTGTAAGTCCTTTTTTTTTTCTGGCTGTGCCACGCCACTTACAGGATCTTAGTTCCCTGACCAGGGATTGAACCTGGGCCCTCAGCAGTGAAAGTGCGGAGTCCTAACCACTGGACTGTCAGGGAGTTCCCTGTTGTAAGTAACGTTGAGTAAGATGAGCAGCCTTTGGAGGGTTTTTTAGCTGAATGTGATGTGATCTGACTTATTTTAAAAAAGAAAACAGAGGCTTCTGGGTGAGCATAGCCAGAGGAGGAGGAAGTAGAGATGAAGAGACCATTTAGGAGGCTATTATAAATAACCTGGGAGAGAGATGATCGTGGCTTTTGTTTGAAGGTGATAAACACAATTGGATTCTGTATATATCTCACATGATACATCTCGAAGATAGAGTCAACGGGGTTTTCCATGGACTGAATGTGGGTTTTGACTCCAAGGTTTTTGACCTGAAGAACTGGAAACATGGTTCTGGCACTGACCGAGACTAAAGGCAGGACAAGTTTGAGGGGGAGGCTTCACAGTTCGGTTTGGGACATGTTAACTTTGAGATGTCTCCTAGACACCTGAGTGGAGAAGCTGAGTAGGCAATGGAACACATAGGCCTGGAGTTCAGGGATTCTGGAAGGAACCATTTCCTGTGGTCTGCCAGTGACGTTTATTACAAAATCAAGAGGGCTGGGCCCATCCTCTGGAAGAGTTTACACGTGTATATGTGGCTACTGAGGGCTCCAAGCAGGCATAAAGCAAGGGGCAGACTGATGCCTGACATTCCCCGGGGCACTGCCAACCTGGAGAAGCAGCTCAGGACCAGGGATTGGCTCAGGGTTCTAGAAGTCAGTATGGCCATTTTTCAGGACTCACAAGACTGCAGAAAGACAGTCCATCAGTTGAGTCTGCCAGCTTCTGGTTTCTCGTTTCTCTTTTGGTTGTTCTCTGGTTCTGCCCCCAATTAACCTTGGCACCCAGAGGCATGCATTCCTCTCTTCCAATTCCTGACATCTCTTGAGCCTCCCCCGGGGCTGGTGTACAGGAACTTGCTCTCGAGAGCTTGGTCTTGGATCCACATGTCAGCTGATATTCCCAGGACTCCCAGGGACGCCTTTGAACCGCGCTGGGCCCCCTCCAGCTGCCTAACCCTGCAGAGGGCGCTGCAGTCAGGGGAGGCCGAGGCTCTCGGGGCATCTTCTTCTGCCCCACCCTGATGTTGGATGTAGACCTGGGGCCTGAGAGCTGTGTCTGGGGTGGGATTGACTGATTTAGCAAGCTTGAGTTGAGAGTTTCGATTTGGCCCCTTAGCTGACCTTAAGTGCAAAGATGAATTTTTGGCAGTCATTGTATCGCCTGGATTGGTGCTGTCGATTTTGTGTGGCTGATAACAGCTCCGCTTGAGTGTGGCTAGTCAGAGCCCAGGGTGTGGAGCACAAGGAGTTGTTTGAGACAGAATGAAAGTGAGGATTTGCCACTTGGTCTTATCAGCGGAGGCCTCCACACTGTTGAGGGAGGGAGACCCCTTCAACACAGGTGGCAGCATCTGGGCAGCAGACTAGAGGAGACCAGTGTGTTGACAGTAAGAAGTCTATGGAAATGCAGTGGTCTCCTGTCTCCTGGCATCTACTGTTGGCCCCATCAAACACCTACAGCTCACTGGGTCCCAAAGAATGAATCATTCCTCCAGGTATTTATAAAAAGGGGATGAGTCAGACCCCAGTTTAGATCTTGGCTTTGCCGTTTACTAGCTGCGTGACCTCAGGCAAGTAAACAACTTTTCTGTGCCTCGGTGCCCTCTTCTGTAATAAGGGGATAAACCGACCTACCTCAAAGGATGCCTGGAGGAGTAAGTTTCTGGCACGTGGCGGGCCATCAGTGGACGTATTGCGACTAGTCACCTCGTCTCCCATCTGCGGTTCCTCCCCCGTAAACTTCAGGAAGGTTGATCTGATGACGAATCCACAGAGAAGGTATAGAGATAGAAGAGGGAGGTCCGCATGCCCAGTGAGAGCAAAGTGAGTTGTGTTGACTTCGAATGCTCAGTTTGCAATGGTTTGAGTCACTGCCAGCTCAGCTCACTTCTTCCTGAAGCATGTCTCCCAGTTATTTCTCAGCATCTTGCGGGTGTGTGTCACGTGATCTCAAAACACTAGCCGTCCAGGTGGTCACCCTGTGTTATCTGCCCTGTCGTTCTGCCTCTGCTCCACGACTGTCTGCAGCCACCCAAGCTTCTGGAAGGCGTCTTTGCTGCTGGTGTCCCTGGAGGGATACGGGGACCCTGCCAGGTGCTCCCCCAGCCAGCCAGTGGCCGGAGTTTGGGGTTCTAACTGCCTAACCTCTCCCAGGTCCATCTGCATGTCTCAGCCCCATCACTGTACCCTTGGTTCTGCCCTCCACTTCCTGGCTGCCACTTACGATTCCAAAAAGGATTCAAATCAGTTTACAGTGTTTTGAAAATATAGCCAGATGGAATAAATATGAAAATAAATGAGAAGAAGAAGAGTGAAAGAAAAGGTTAAGTGTATTTCCTGCCTCGTTCAAACAGCTCGCTGCTAATGTGCAGGGCGGGCTGGAAGCCTTTCGATGTTATGCACTCATTTACCCATTTTAGGATGAGATCTGGAAACTTGTCTGAGACACTTAGAGATGACTCTCCAAATGGCCCAACCCAGACCCCTGGGAGTGGGCCATCTGACCACTGACGGTCCAGCAGGCAGGGTGCAGCCTCCCTGGGTGGCACTGGTCATCGCCTCACAGTCACACACCTGAGCCCTGGCTTCTCCTGCAGCCACTGCTGGCCCAGAAAGTGAAGCAATAAGAATTTGGACACCTGAGAGCCAGGCATCTAAAAAATTCAAGGTGGTTTGGCAGGAAGCCACCTCCTGAGTGCCCCGGTCCCTCGTCAGTCACAGCCACAGGATGCAGGTAAAGCTAGTGTTGATTCCAAAAGAAGGAAAAGAAAACTGCTCTTTGGGTATTTTTCTTGTGACCCTACCTCACAGGGTTATTGAAAGGATTACATGAATAGAGAAAGACCTACTGTAATTTGTGCTTGGATGCAATTCGGGGAGAAATATTTCCTCCTGAATAGTGACAACAGCGAACCCCTCCATAAAACCTGCTCTGTGTTTTCGGTGACGTCCATGTCTTAACCCACTTGCCTTTCACGATAAGCCGATGAGGTAGGTATCGTCGTGCCCCACTTTACAGACTCACAGAGAGGTGAGCAGCTCCTGCCTCGCCAGGAAATGGTTGAGCTGGGCTTGACGCATCAAGTTTCTCCCTTCTCGTGGGTGACCCTCAAGAGCTACCACAGCATCCTTCCTTGCCGTGCGCGGGAGGTGAAATGGCTGTTTTTCAATGTCAGTTTAGAGTCATTCAAGGGCAAGCTAACAAACTCCCATTCATTCTTTAAGTCTCCAATTAAAGGTCATTTCCCCAGAGAGACTTCCTCCTCTGAAGCAGCCCTGGTTCCCCACACTGTCTGTTATTTTCATAGTACCTGGTATTTTTCATTCCGGGCACTGATCACAAGCGTAGTTATTTACTATCCCTTTGGAACCACTTCTCCCCCACCCTTTGCTGTTTAAACCACTGTGTCACCTTCTGTCCTTCCTGTCCCTGTCATTGCTGATCTCCCAAATCTCCTGTCGTCTAGCTAGGGTCTTGGCACCTGGCACTCAGTTCTCCTCCATTTCTAATCCCGCCTTAATCCTGGATGCTTTTACCCTCGCAAGGATAACACCTGGCCGCCTCCTCTCCAGTTCTTTCTGTCCATCCACCTCAGGGGATGCCTCCCGCCGGCTCACACCAGACCACGGTTGACCTGAAACAGCTCCTCCAGCAAATGCAGGCATTGGACCATTCCTGCTACTACCGTCCTGCACGCGCGCCCGGACCCTGCACCTGCTCCAGCGGACTCCTCTCCTTTCTTCATGTCTTTCTTGTGTAGTCAGATTCCAAGGCCTGTGAGGTCAGTGGCGCTCTTTCTGTTGCCCTACATTTCCAGGCCTGCATCTTTTCATACACCGTCTGCCAGCACGGCCTTTGCTCACCTGTGTGCTTTGCTCAGAGCCTGCACCTCTGCAGATGAGTGCTGCTGGTGAAAGAACAGCTCTGGACTCGATTGCTATCGGTGTCCCCAAACCCAAGGGCCCTCGGCAGTGCCTGGCAACCCAACCACATTTTGCTCCTAGACTCACTTTCTGACGACGGTTTCAGCAGGTGGCCCAAGACCCAGGGAGCCTTTTCCTCCCATCCAGTGACGCCTCTGATGGTCCAAATTCCTGCCTGGCCAGCACGGTTCTTCAAGAGAAGACAACCACGGGTAAACCCTTGGCCAAACGGGCTCCACCTACGACGCCCCTGGCGTGGGGTCCCGGGGTTATAGCTCTTGAATTTGCTCTCAAGTGCTTAGTTCCTAAAGCAGGATGGCTTCTAGGTCGAGTCAGGGGCTTCCAGCCCTAGCCTCCTGCTGTGCCAATGCCAGTTCCCTTCACAGTGACTTTGCCCTGACCCTGGACCCACGTCACCATTCTAGGCTCCCCTCACTTGGATGAGTTCTTCCTTGAGGGCACTAGATATTTCCAGTCGAGGCCTAAGTCAGACGCACCTCCATCCAACAGCAAGATGTAAGAGAGGAAAGATAATTTTCACTACTCTCCTGAGTTCTTGGCTGAAACCCTGTAATAAAAGAATATTAACAAGAGAAAAACAAACAGACGTCTACTATCATGGATACCTCACGGATACATGGGAGATACCCAGGGGAAAATGAGTAAGTCCCCAAGGTGGCCTAGAATGCAGGCTTAAATGCCATCTTAGTAGGGAAAAGGGAGGGGGAACGGTGGCTTCTTTGGGAAGAGTAAATGGTGTTTAGCGGGGGTGAATGGGCCCTTAGAGGAATAGATGGGAGGTGTGATAGTTTGTGACAAAGTTGGTTGGGTTGTGGTGTTAAAAATTCTGGAATTTCTCTTCTATGGTAAGAGTCAATCTTCCCTGACTGATGAAACTCCTGGAAAGGGGATTTATGACAATTGAGCTTCGTTTGGAAGATCTGTCTTCAGGTAGACCAGAGGAGTTCAGAGAAAGCCTCTCTCTGCGTTTGCTGTTTTTCAAGTGCCTACAGCACTAAGAATGA